TCGCATAATTAGTTATATCATAAATAAAAAAAAAAAAAAAAATTATTTATACATAATAAAAAGAACGTGTTTAGCCTACAAACATCTTTATAATATTAAGGTTATAAGTTATCTGATTAATGTTACATTTTATTCAACTGGTTTGTAAATAAAAACACTAAACATGACTTTATTTCACAAAAACATGAAGACCCAGCTTATCCTAGTTTGTAGTTTGGTCATAAATTGAGGGGTTTAGGTCTAGTACCCAATGATGTGAAATATTTATGCTTAAGCATCGATTTAGGCAAGGTTTTGATGGATTCGCTCAAATGGTTGCTAACTAAATTGTAGTACTGTTTCAAAAAGTAACCTGTAATAAGTTTTATTTTATTTTATGTATCAAATAGCAAGTACTAAGTACAAACAAAATTTGTTTCATTCTCATTAAAAAGTTATATAAATATTTTTTTCGTGTGACCCTCGCAATGTAAACAAACATTATTTTACACTTTATTATACAATATGTTTTAGTTTATCATTCATACAAACCGTTCAGCTATTAGTTAGGTGGCTCAGTTGAAAATTGAATGGATAGTAAAAAAATCTCAATATTGATATGTTCTTGTATGTACTATTACTAAGATAAAATAAGATTTACCAAGTTTTTATATTGAGCTAGCAGTTAAGAACCGTAGGGAATATTATTATTAATGTAAAAGCCAAGGAAGCATTATCCATGCATCCATCTCGCTATGGTTGCGAGAAACATTAATGTTGAAGACCGTTTGACCTTTGAAAGCATTTTTAGTCGTTTGTCAATGTCACTAATGTCGGTAAACATAAATTTATTCTTAAAAGGGTTCATACAATTTCCTTCCATGACTCACATATAAGCTACCCAAAATATTTCAGTAGTGTTCATTAATTGAATTGAAAACAATAGTTTTGCAATCAAAGTCACGCTAGTTAGGATTTCCAAAAACTACCACATTCCTTAATAAATGTTAACTCTATACCTATAAACACTGCAATAAATTAATAATTCAAATAATATAATAGTAGCATTAATTTATTTTGCTCTTACCTATGTAACTTGTAAAATTTCTATAATGTTTTGAATATAATTTTTTTATATTATATTTAATCTACTAAATGGTAGCATTACTTTATTTTGCTCTTACCTATGTAACTTGTAAAATTTCTATAATGTTTTGAATATAATTTTCTTATATATTTAATCTACTAAGCTACAAACAGAACACCTAGAATGTTTGTGCATAAACATGTCACTTTCCTTTTTTCAGATTATTTATACTTACTTAGGACCTAAAAGACTGAAGTATTATAAAAAAAAAAAATTGAAATACATTTCTACACTTAACTACAGCGTGTATACAATATTTGTTTTTTCTAAATAATTAATTATTCATTGTTTGACTATTTAAACCTTGATCTAATGGTTACTGTAAAGGACATTTTTACTTTTTTGGTACTGATTCACAAATGATTGAATAATCTATTTGTCACAAGAAATAAACTAACATCCCAAATACAGGTTAGAATAAAGAATACAAAACATATTAGGGCCATAGATAGGCTATATTATTAGGGTTATAACATGGTTATATCAGGCCAAGTATTTTCTGTCAAAGATGTAAATGATTATTATATGAAATGAGACTAGAAAACACGAGGGTTAAGCTTGATTCAACTTTTATTTTAGGAAACACGAATCAACTGCTTTTAAATAATTGTTGTAAATGTCTTACCACGAACTGATATAACCCCAATGATGAAACCAGAAACATGTTACCACAGAAAGAACTGGGCTACATGTTTATAACGGGGCCATACAACAATAAATCACCCGAGCACGACCATCAGAGCCAGATTACAACATTAAGCCCTACTACACAATATAATCAGGGTAGGATGTAAATGTTGCAAATTACATAATAAATCCTGGTTTGTGCTGGGCCCAACATGACCGCCTGACTCAAAAACAACTTGAAACTGTTCAATTTGTACCCAACAATGAAAGATGTCACAAGAGTAACAGATTGCTTCATGTACAGAGTTTTGATTGAGTATTGTCGTGATGTAACTAATGTAAATGTGTTTTAAGCATATATTTTTGGTATTCAATGTTATCATAGTGAATTTGGTTAATGAGTTTTGAAAGTGTTTTAATTTATAAATATATGAAATATACATATTGTCATATAAAATAAAAAAAATATATACCTAATCAGGTAAATATAGAGCCGCTTGGTAATTTCTTGTTGTGAATTTTTAAATCCGTAAGCAATACAGTTACCCGTAAAGCAATAATTATGTCTTTGTTAATCAAATGGTCAGTACAGTATTAAATCAACATATGTTAGAGCTGGTTGTTCATAAATTATAAAATGCGCTCCTGTAATTATTGTTAACATCATAATCATATCATTAACATCACTAGACCCATTAACATCACATGAATCATATTTAAATAAAACGCAAACAATCAAATCAAAAGCAATACACATAGTTTTGGGCTGTGGTAAAGTATGGTTAGCTTCAACTTTTAACAGGCAATACTGCAGTTTAAGTATCGCATTTAATGCTCACTAGTGAACCTGTGCGGCTCGATGCCCCGCAAAATTACATACGAATTTAGAAAACAAATCCATCGTGTTATATATTGGCTCAACGTCAAAAATTAAATACAGTAATAATAAATCCTTAGAAGAGAAGCAGTCTAGCCATTTTCTAGCTGTATGTGTGAATTAATAAGTGTTCAATTATGTAATAGGGTAGTTATTTTAAAAAAAAGTTTTAAACACATTTAACAAAGCTTTTTGTCACATCAAACCAATAGGCCTATGTAGCATATTTTGAGGGTAATAAAATGCTGCTTGAAGAAAACACTTTGAAAAATAAACACTAAAAAAAATATTTTAACCACAAAAGCACTTCCATGAATACTACGATTTTAGTCTTGAAGTTACCTTCAGGAAGATTACCCTCGTCAAAATTTCCCATAATGAATATGTGTAACCTATTAAAAGATGTAGCCTAACTTAAAACAGAAATAATATATTGTTGCTCATGACTGAAATTGGTCTGGGTAAGAACAGTGCTGCTCTTTAATTAAAGTGCTTAAGGCTTGGTGCTTTCATAACTGCAAACTCAAAATACACCCACAAGTAAAAAAGAATCAAGTTATTGGTTGTGTAACCTATTTTTGTGTAACAACATTATTCACATGAAGTAGATGATTTGTTTGATTTGTCGATCAGCTGTTCTGTTTCAAATGGATTAATAATGTCAAAGATTTGTGATTTTAAATACATAAATTATTATAGTAAAGTTTTCTAAATCGTGGTAACTTAATCTCAACTAAATTTTACTACTCCCAGAATTAAAATAAAGTAGTAAGATCCATTATGAGTAAACTTTAAGGTATACAATCCTTGATTGAAATGTAGTATACATTAACAGTCATAATACACAGCAATTATTATGTAGTAGACTTTGACTATGTTCAAGTAACAAACATATGTTTCTGTAAATAAAAATTATCTCCTATGTTATCCTTATGGAGAAATACGAAACTTTAAAGGGCGCCAGGGCCTCACTCTCTTATTATTTCCCTAAAAAGAAAGTTTCCTGCAAAACTTCACGTTACGCTCTTTCCAATGACCCCAAAAACATGTCAATCGGTTCAGTAGTTTCGGAGGAGTAATTGTCACAAAAAACCTGCTTGCGTATTAAATAAGTATAGATGTTATGCATATGTATTTTAATTTTGCCACCATCACGTATTCCTACTAAGGTGTAGGTAACGGTCCCATAACTCAGAATAAGCCGTCGTGCTCTCCCAGCTCAGACTCACATTTACATGTAGTAATGTTAGTTATGGTGCAGTAAAGAAGGAGATTTCAATGTACTTCAGGATTTTGGGTCGCTTTACAGCAAAGCAATGAATTCCAAAGAGCACAAGGTTTAAGATGTAACGCCACAGTTTATTTCGCCTCTTACGTGCCTAGCAAATACACAGGGTGTTTTTGTTTAGTTCTATTGGAACTGTGTGGATGGATTAACTATGAAATTTCAAGAGTTGTATTTTTTTCATGTCCGAATTTTTGGACTATTTTTGCGAGGTTTTCAACATTGATACTGAACACTAGTTTCTGAAGCTGATTTGTATAAATTTTGGCTGTTGATACTTTTTGTTACGGTTAGTAATATAAATAGCTATAAACATATTTGTCGTACAATTTCCTGAATGTTACCATGAAACTGTCCTTCCTATTTTCAGTCCCTTTTGAAATCCTTGGAACTTTATACTCTTCTCAGGATTTTGTACACATTGTTTTGGTAAACGTAGTTGTTAAAAAGAGTTTTAAATTCATATTTAATTACTATTTATAATCCATGGTTCTAAATTTAAAACGTCTGAATACACAATACGACATAACTTCGAACAACTTTACATTATAAGCTAATGGAAAAACTGTACTACTTACCAATCTGGAACAATTTGAAACCCTCTTACCTGGAATTAAAGTTAAATAGAACAATACATTAAAATGTAAGAAGTGTGACATGAAATTGATGCGTGAGACTAAACTTGATTAAAATATGTGAATAAATTTGAAAACATGTAGAATATGGAAGAAAATATGAAGCAAAATATTCAACCAGCACACAAAACGAATATTATATTACTACATCGAGAATACCGATTAGAAAATGATAAAAACATCACTTAAAGCGAATTATTAGAAAAAAGTGAATTGAATGCAACATTACGAATACGGTTATATACAAAAAGCGAAAAGCGAATAAAACAACACTAATAACTATTTAAACTTACCAAAATTGTTAAGATTGTAAAAATTTGCATTATTTAGAAAACTTTATGAAACACATGATAAGAGTGAATAAGCCTGGAAGTGGAAGCAACATTAAAAATGTTTGCGGGGATTCCGGCCAAAGAGGTTTAAAAAATTAAGCCGAAACACACTTCTTACCTTCAAAAATCTCAATCTCGTCTCCTGAAAACATAAAAATTAAGTGAATTTTTTCTCTTATTATACTTTTTACATCAAACAAAAGAATAATATTTGATTATTGTTTCTTTTGCATTTTTCGGTTATTATATCCAAAGATGATTCAGATAAATAAATGCTTTACTTCTTAGTATCTTGGCCTTATAAGAAATAAATCACAATTATAAGAGACAATTAATTATCTATAAGTAACTATCTTGATTATTAATTTCTCGACAAATAAAAATATAGATAAATAAATTCAAGTAAACAAATATAAGTTCTCTTTACCCAATATGTAATAAAGGATATATTGTCTAGATTCGTACTTCTCTTGACTAATTTTATTATTAGCATACACAACAATCAATAACAATTTACCAAGCAATGTTTTCTACGTATTAGCCTGCAATAAAAAAATCATTTGTTCTGAAACAGTGGACTTGTATTACTTTGAAGTCGAGAGGCTTATCAGTAAAGAGAAAGGTGACGGTTTTAACACTTCTCTAGCCGGTGTTGTGCCAGAAGCGACCGTGCCAGAAGCGACCCGTGCCGCTAGCGACCCACCAATTTTCTACCGTGCCGCTAGCGACCCAAGAATTTGGTGCGGGAGGCGAGTAATGAATTAACGCCGATTCAACTTATATTCTTAACAAAAACTAAACAGAATTTCACTGTAAAACCATTAAAACGATTTGCTGTCACATTAAATACATAACAAAATACTCCCGCCGCAGCAGTCCTGCAGACTAAATTTATTCCCACTTGGGGAAGAAAAATAGTTTTTTTTATGTAAATTGTATCGTATAATTCATACGAGTATACATTTACCAACACATATCCATAAATAAAATAAGCAAACTATAACAGTTTGTAGACTCCAGCTAGGTGCATTTATTGTAATAGGCCTATTTTTTTTATTCGTTCGTGTATGTGTGTGTAAAAGTTTATGGACATTAGTAAACAATGATAAGTATTTTTTTCCAACTGCAATGTTTTGACAATGGCCGATACAAGCCGAAACATGTAAACAACCTACTATTTGAGCTGTTTGTCGGATTATAAGGTATGTAACCCTATTTATCACATTTAATATAACAGCTCAGGAGCTAGAATGGAAATGAATTATAACCAAATTACTTAAATTACCAATTACATATATTTTTACGAATGGTGTTTTTGCTCTCTAGGGGCATCAAAACGAAAAATGAAATAGGTCCCGGGTCTAGGTCTTTCAATGAGACCTACGGTAATAGCTTATTCCATATATGGAAAAGAGTATTCTAGCACAACTAAATAAAGAAGATTTTGAGGTTTCTAGTCACGGCAGCTTACAACCCCTGATGTTGTCGACCTGCTATCACAAAAAATGACTAAGACGTCTCTACTAACTCAAAAATAATAGGCCAAATATAAGGCAAGAAAAGGGTAGGAATTTATTGTATATACTGTATATATTTATAATGACGAAGCTATCCATCCAGCTGATGATTTAGCTAAAAAATCCCAAAAAAATTTAAAACGCTTAAGTACAAATTGTGGCTTTTGTTAGGCCTATAATCCCGGTTATGTCACAATTATTGTAGCTTTTGCACCTGCTATATGTTGTGGTAAACGTACGATTTGTATATTTGTAAATAATTTCTTTTGTTAATATTTAAACCATATAGCTTATTTTTATTAATTACTTTTATATTTTTGAACTGTTATGTGTAGGCATTGACTAAGGAAACAAAATTTTTTTCCCTTGTCTGTGGTGTAGGTCAATAAATCTATTGCATTGTTATTAATTATCTGTCATAGGCTATATCATCAAACAGTTTATTGCTCTTAATTCATCTTTATACAAATTTTTTTTTAACTCCAACTGTTATTGTCACAAAAATAAAAAAAAAACTTTGTAGCCAGACTGTTGATTTTTTATTAAGAAAGTCCCTATTTGATTGGCTGTGTTTTCTGAACTGAAATGTGTATTTCCTAAAGATCAAATTCAGTATTTCATTTCAGTTTCGAGATTTGGAAATACAATTACTTATCTATTATGCAGTAAATTTGGGGGAAGGGGAGGAATTATTTATAAATATCGGAGGGCCACTTTAAACGCAATGAAAAAAAAAATTAATTAAATGAAAACAAGCTGTTGTAATTATTCGTATGCTTTGCAACGGACAGGACGTTGAAGAAAGAGTCCAAGTATCTATTTCAAATAATAATCCAAACATAATATGTTAACAATTGTTAACACATCAACTTCATTAAATTCTAAGAAGCTATCTCCAAACAGGCTAGTAGTAAAAATCCAAAGTTTGACGATTCGAATGGTTTCTGCTATTTGAATTTTGTCTGGATTTTATTAGTCCAAGTTGCACTAACTATCCAAATAATAAAACTTTATACCCGGTATTTTGTATACCTTTATTTTTTATTGTAGTTATTATTTATTTTTTTTCTTTCAACCAAATTATTACCAATTAACTGTCATGTCATGTTTTATAAATATCTGTTTTTTTTTTTTCAATTTAGAATATTTATTTACTGATAGAGGAAACTTCTCACGCACGGGCCTATGTGAGAGGGATTTCATAATTAACTACTAGGCCTATGTCAGTATGTTATTACATAACTAAGGCATAATTATTAAATTTGTACTGACAAAGTATTGTAACATAGTATTTTACCTACTGAAATAAACATTATTTTGATTATATTTGACAAACTACCTCCATGTGAAGTTTTATTTAGATCTTTTGAGTGGTTCCCGTGCGATTAAGTAGTATACAAACACACATCCACCATCTCATATTTACATATTTAGATAATAAATTGAAAAATAAAGAAAAGATAAGTTAATTGATTATATTGGCTCTTATAAAATGATAAAAATTCTAGATAAATTGATTGATTAAGTTACCACACATAACTTGAGTCTATGCTAGCAGCTGGGAACTAGAGATGCAAAAACACCTCTTTAGGCGAATATTGGGCTCTTCCAGGTGGTACATATTACTATAACAAGAATAGGATTTGTTTATAAGCCATTAACACCGATTTGAACAAAACATTGTAAAATCCTTTATCAAACAATGGGTCGCTAGTGGCACTCACGCTACTACCAGGGTCGCTTCTGGCACGATTTTGGCTGGGTCGTTTCTGGCACGGTCGCTTCCGGCACGTAATCCTCTAGCCTTATCACCTCTCAGGAAGAGAAAGCAATCCCGTGTTTACAAGGGCATCCGCCATGGTGCAGGACAGATGAGACGTTTGTGGACGTGTTATGCAACTCGTACATCTTTGTACTCGCTCATAAATCACTCTATTGACACGTAGTTTGAGAATAAGAAATATAATGTTTGGAACCTCTGAGATGGATTCATAAAACATTTCTAATGTATTGACTTGAACTGGTCAAATGTTTAACTTTTAGGAAACGTTCTTTGTTGGAAAGGCACAAAAAGATAAAAAAGACAACCTGCATAGGCCTTGGACCTTGTACATGGTGCTTGAAACAGCTCCTTCTGAATAGTAAAAAATAATTATAGCAATTTCCATATGCACTATTATATAATGTATCCTAGGGAAGACGTATACGTGAAGCTTAAATCGGACGGTAAAAATTGTGTGAAAAAATACCTAAGTATATTTACAACGCTTTTTAAATGCTTAAAATTCTATTATATTTATAATTAATGCAAGTAAAGTGTTAAAAAACCAATATTACATTAAAACTGCATATTTCTCTCAAACATTAGGTTTTTAAGCGAACTGGGAAAAATACAGTGGTATGTAGATGATTAAGGTAATTCCTTAAAGGATTCAGAGGTGCAAGCAATGTGTAAAATGTACATCAAAACCAATACATCAATATGTCAATCCATGGATTTCCTACGTTTCCAAACGGTTACCACTTACATATGGCGCAGGCAAACAGTATATTTCTCCCAGGAGCTGGAAACATTTCTGAATCAGTTCTAAACTCGAAGGTATGGCTATAAAGTAACTGCTGAACTTGTGCTGTGAGTCAGTAGCTTGTAAAGTAATGGCAGAACTTGGGACAAGAACACTCCAATACAGCCTCGCTTCGGAGGTGAATTCATCCCACATAGTATTGCATTGAATAGTGAGATGCAGCAAGGCTATAGTTATGATACTATTATTTTGGAGAAGCATACGAAGTCAAAACTTTGAAAAAAAAAATTGCGAACTACATTGCATTTTCACAATTAGGGCCTATTCAAAGGGTGGTTTCGTTTCTTTGCACTTACCTTATAAATAATAGCTGTATTTTTTACTACAAAATTTACTGCCAATTTATTTATTATGGTAACCTATAACTACAATTAAATATGGAACCTATGCTAGAGGATTGTGTATATTATATTGATTTAATATTCCTATTACTAAGCTTGTGAGCACAAATTGGATCGCATGAATAAACTTTTTGGATTTGCGTTCTAGTAAATTGTATTATAATACATAGATTTCCCATCAGAAAAATTTTTTATTATTAAATAGTAAGCTTTCAAATACTAAACAATAGTAAATTTTTTTCCAAAATATGCTTATATCAAAATTGGCCAAATGTTGCTCTGCTCCTGCCATAGATTTAAGTTAGTTGTTAAGTTTTCTGTTAAAATGCACGTTGTTACCACATAGGCTTCTTGTATCCACGTTGTAAATTGGTGATATATTGCTGTTAGAATAAATAAATAAAATTATTAAATTTTTTTAAGAGTATACCTGAACTAATAAACTTTGAAAAACTTACTAAGGGAATACTATGATTTGTTAAATGTTATTAATGGATTTAAAATTTTACGTGATTGTATATTCAATAAGCTACTATAATTTGTTTAAATGATGTATTTTCCCCTTACTTCTTTGCTATTTGAGCCAAATTTTACGAATGGCGAAAGCAAGAACAAATATATATTCGACAGTGGTACGTCGCTCAAACCAAAATTTTAGTATCAAACTTCATGGAGTTCTAACTACGAATTTATTTACAT